ATGGAATAAAATACAACAACTAATCGTTCGAATTAGGAGGACACTTGATCTCACTATGATGATGGAGGTATCTCCACAGTGACTTGTACTTAATAAACACTTTGAAATGTATCGGAGACCTGAGCATATTCGAAAGCGATTCCCATAATTTCAAGAATTTCCTATCCAGTTTTGATTAATAGACGAAAGTTGAAACGACACGGAAACTGAATTAATAACGTGTAACTCAACATTGGTGTGGATAGAACCTCCAGAATTTAGGCAATCGTTTCTGAATGTGTTCAGGAAACTATGATGAAAATATTGAGTCTTTGGTACATTGCGAAGTTTTAACAAAGTGGAAGTGACTGTCCAAGTACTTCAAGGTATGATTGCAATTCTCATATCCAATTCTAGCGATATAACTCTTTGAAGACGTAATTTTTTATCATATTGTTGGTCCTTTGTTCACCAAGGAAGAATTGTAGTGACCTCCAAGATCGAACACGTGAAAACGCAACATATAATTGCCCATGATTAACGACATCTTTTCGAAGATCGAGCCCAATTTTATCGAATGTTTGTCCTTGACTTTTGTTGATTGTCATCGCGAATGCCAGTTTGAAAGGAAACTGTCGACGTTGAAACGTAAAAGGATAGACGTCCTCACAATAGAGAGTCATGCGATGAATGAAAACGATCTCTCCTGCCTTGTCGCCCGTGAGAATTCGACATCGTAGGAGATTATTTGCGAGTCCTAAAATTTGTAGCCGTGTACCGTTACACAATCCTTCATTGATACTGAGATTTCGAATGAGCATAACAATACAGTTGTGTCTAAGTTTCAAGTCATGTGGCGGGAAACCTGGTGGATTTAATGTATTCAAATACTCTGGGAGTATTGCATCTGAAATGTCTCCATTGTCACAGTTTTTCACTGTCTATGCTGTTATAAATCTTTTTCGTTGTTTTATCGAAGAGTTCTACAACTCGATTGTTTATTTCTTCAACATCAATATTTCGTGCAGATAGTATTGCGACATTTGCAAATTCATCGAATTTTCTCTTCTTTATGAGTTCTTTGCATGTTGATGCAACTATATCAGCTGTTCGTGGAGCTATGCACTGTTCTGGTGCTAACAAATTATTGCTGGCATCAGTTGAATATCCATCACCTACGGAAAGAAGATATCTGGAGAACTCAACTTCTCCTGGGAGACTACGCATATTTTCAGTCAGTGCAAACATGGAAAAATGTTTCCACGACACACTGAATTTGATCGATAAATTGACCATCTCAGAGCGAGTAGCGTGAGTTTTCACTGGTAATAATTGCCTGAAGTCACCGCCCAAAATCATAATTTTTCCTCCGAATGGCAAGTTTACATTCGTAAAGTCACGAAGTGTTCGATCGACTAATTCCAAAGCGTATCTCGGTGCCATTGGAGCTTCATCCCAGATGAAAACATCAACTCCTCGTAGATAATCAGCGTTTTGAGACTGATTCTTGATGTTTGAAACAGAATCAGAGAAAAGAGGGACCGGCATACCAAAAGTTTTATGCACAGTTCTCCCATGCGGTAGTAATATTGCCGCAATACCTGTAAACGCCATTGTGCAAATTTGTTTTTCTCTTCCTGTCAATATATGATAGATTGTGGTGTAAATAAATGTTTTCCCTGAACCACCGGGACCATCAATGTAAAAACATGTGTTTGAGGAATTTCTTACCTCCGAAGAGACTACATCCAAAATTTTATCCACGATTTCCTTTTGTTTGACGTTCAATCTTCGATATTGATTAAGACCAATTTCTGTATGTTGTTAGAGTATTCCTGCATCTATGGGCTCGTTAATATTATTTGGCATCTCTTCCATCGTAGGCATGGTAGGAAAACGACTCAAGTCCGAACCTTCTTGAGTGAGAAATGTATTGATTTCAGCATACGCTCTTCTTTCAGCTGTTTGAACATCGGCATCTCGTTGAAAATCTTGAGACATGGCATCTTTGAATTTCAACCATAATTCCTCTGGTTGGTTTGGCTGACAATACTTCAAAATTCGAGCGTACAAACGACGGAGTTGTCGAGGCATCATCCATATTTCGCCTTCTGTCATTGCTCGTTCCCATTCTGTATCATCTGCGATAAGTCCTAATGCTAGACAGGCACTGTGATACGTATCACACAGATGTCCATTAACGGTTCTCAAATCCTCAAAACTAATTGCTCCTTTGCTTTTTATCAATAATAATCGAAGATGAAATAATTCAATTTGAGTGGGAGCTACCGAATACATTCGTCCGATAACATTGAATTGAGTTTTGTGTTTCTCCCATCTTGAGATGCCTGAACCTTGATTTTTCTTGAACACGTAATGGGACGGAATTTCTGAATAGGTGAACTTCCTGGCTTCGGGATCTCGTTGATTTAAAGCGAAATAATCCATCAACATTGTCTCTTTTTGAAATGCAGACCTTATAGCTTCATCATCGGATACATCGGAAATTGTTAGAGTGTGTTGATTACGTAGATGCACAGGTAATCTCACGATTGAGTGACTTTTTTCTTGTAATGTATGACTTAATATACGATCACTGGCTTCGACTGGGCTGACATATCGAGCCTCCACGAAATTACGAATTTCATCATGATCGATCACATTTTCACCATTACCAGGATGGGTAATCTCAACGGCCGCCGCATCATGGCCTTTGTAAACATATTTATATAGATACTTCACAAATTGGATAGATGAAACGACTTCTACGTTGATATGACAATTGTATAATTTCAATAGTGTGGGATTCTAGGGAACTACAAATTGATTGTCAGTTGTATGTCCATTTCCACGGTTATAAACACCAGTGTTTCTGCGACGATACGTAGGATATCCATTCTCATCTAGGGTAGTTTCGGCTTGAAAATCTTTGGGGAAATGTTTCGTACACTTACCTTTTTCGTTTTTACACCAACTGCCACATGGACCGTGAATCATGTCTTTCATTACGATTTCATGTAACGTGGGATCTTTGTCTGGACTTGGAATTTCTGCAGAAATATATTTATCAACTACATCTGGAGTAGTTATCTTGTGATTCTGTTTCAACGTTAATAATATATGGACATGAGGTATCTTTTATGATGGTTTTTTTGATCAACTCATCTTCTTTCCTGTGAAAAATACGTGAAACTAAATCAGGTCGATTAGATGGTATTTGATCGGGTAATAAATTTTCTTGTATTTCACGCCAGTTCGGATTGCACGTCATCGTAATGAAGAGATCTGGTTTACCGAATTTCCTTACAATTGCCATGGCATCTTGATAGTGCTGCATCATATTGCGTGGAGAACCCACAAATGATGAAGGAAGAATCACCATTTTTCCTACTCGACCATGAGCTTCATCTGCTCTTCTTTGTAAATGTTCTCTTAAACTTTGGTACGTGTCAGAACGTAGCTTTTCTTGATTATTCCTATCAAATGTCAAACGGCCTCTCTCAACTTTTACGTAGCTGTCAACAATCCATTGTTGGAATAATCTGCCGCCTTTGAGAATCACATTGTCGTCTCTGTCAGCCATTCTGTACTTTGTACAAGCATTGCGTGTAACTCGTCCAGCCCTGTTCGTCAATGGCATTTTGTAATGCCATCCTCGAGTTCCGTTGGGATAGAACAATGGATAAATCCACGGTTCAACATTGGGATCCACGGTGCTGATATACGTGAGTTCTTTCGTAGCTTTGACACGGATTGAAACATAAGACTCTGGAATTTCGCCGTCCGCAGTGGTAGTGAATATCGCTGCGACTTCATTAATCTTTTGGAGATTATATCGTCCACGATCCATGCCTGGTTTTAAAGAAAACAATAGTTGCATCTCAGGTTCCACTCCTGATTCTCTAGAGTTAAGTCTCGATTGCAAGAGTTCTTCGTGCATCATTTGATATGATCGTGCCAAGTTATTGCATTCCCGAAGTGCGCTATCGATTTCACCTACCAATTCTGCATCCAACGTTGACATTTGATTGCATGGAACATCAGTTGCTTCATTTTGATCAACTATGAAGAGCTGACCATATGAAGGACATTTACTTCCAGAAGGGTACAAACTCGTATTAATCTGGTAATAAATTTGTCCGTTAATTTTAAAACAATATGGTCCAGGGCGTCCTTCATCAAAACTCACCAAATTTGCATTGAACGAAGCGAATGCAAAAGAATTATTATAACTACGTATACGCTGAAGAAAATGATTGGATTTTTCATGATTGCCGTCGAATAATTCACGCAAAATTCCTGGTGGCTCAGGTAAAGGTTCTAATCTCACCGCTCCGTGACCACAACAACTCTGGAATGAATCTTTTTTACCTGACGTTCGCTCAAATGCAAAATGCTTCGCGTTGCAATGACAACAAATCATGTCCATGAGTCCTATATAATGTTCAGTAATATCACTTCTTTCTGGCCTGGGACCTACATTTTCAACATTTGTATTAACGATCCCTGACACAGTTGACACGCGTGTTGCTTGTAAGGGAATACATTCTGAAAAAACTACCGAATCGTTAATGGTTGGCTGTTGTGCTGAATGTTGTATAGGAATATCTAGGTCAATTGTATGACCCCGAAAGTTGGCCATCTGATCAACTCGACGTTTTTGTCGACATAATTTCTGCTGGGCTGTATTCTTTTCACGCCTTACCCTTTTCAATTCTGCTTCTTCTTTTGGTGTTCGTTGGATCTTTCTTCTGGGCATTTTATTAATCGAAGTAAAGACAACAATTGTTCAATACTACTAATTGATAGGGAAAGTGGTGATTCCCTACAGATTTATTGAATTTCGTGGCTAGATAAATCAATTGTGTTTGCTGAAATTGAATGATAGTGGTTGATTCTAGGTGAAGAAATTATTAAAACGGGTTATTTTCAGAAAAAAAGTAATTATTTATTCTTTTCTTGAATATCAATAGAACCTTTGGACTCAAATATTCAGAGTTTTTATTCTGTTATTACAATGTAGGTAAATCTAGATCTATTTTGTTTCGTTCAATATCTAGTGTTTCGTGATATCAGATGGAAGTTTCAGTAACTGTATTCAAAGACTTGAAACTGAGTTTTCGGGTTGGAATCTCTGGAAAGTTGAATTCTTGTATTGGCTGTATGTTTCAGTATCTGTATTGAAAGACTCGTGACTGTTTTTACAGTTGAGAATCTTTGGACTCTTAAATTTCTCGCTCCGATTTTATACTCGATCTGAGTTCTAAGACCTGAGTTCTAGGATTTGAGTTCTAGGATCTGAGTTCTAGGATCTGATTCTCTATGTGTAAACTCTTGAAACTATTTTCTTGAAATCTGTAAATGTTTCGATGGGATAATCACTGCGATGTTCTTGATGCTCACAATCACCTCGGGGAGGAGTCCGAGAAATCTGAAAATGAAAAGAATTCAATAAAGAAAAATTTCATTTGCAATGAAAATTTCAGTCGAATACACGAAGAAATTATCTGCTTACCTTGATTGATTGGTTGAGGGTATGAACGGAGCACAGGATTTTGTTCTTGGCACCTGGAGTGAATAAGGAAAGAATTAGCCCATCGACCTCCAGCGCTCTGAAAGTTATTTCCCTGCAAGAGAATCACGTTTTGTATTCGTTGTGCATCGGTATTATCATCTAAGAGCAGAGAATTCCATGCAAGGAGGGCGACATGAAATGTGAATTGAGGTTAGGCGTATTCATTTACGTACAGGCATGAAATTTTGTTCGAGGGGCCTAATTTGTCATGGAAAAAAAAAATTCAAGTTCATGTAATTTATTCGAGTCATCATAGATAGATAGAAAATGCAAATGAATCTACTGACTGTGGTTTTTTTCTCCTACGGAATTCAATGGACCATTCGAATCGCCTTGTGGGTTATCAATTATTGATATTTCAAGATCGAAGAATGAAACTCGATGCTTTTTGGTGTCCCACAACTCCCGGAACCGTTAAAATATCATTTCTGAATTGTTTCCAGATTATAATTATTTAATAATGTGGGAAACAACAATACTTCTACTTTATATTGACATAGCACCCGAAGTCTCGTGTCGCTCATGCTCTTTCCATGAAAATCTACCCCTAGCTACATGAACGACCGTCGGTAATTCCTTCATTCCGTAAGCAGTAATTCCTTCCCCTCATTTTAAAAGAAAGAGAAAATTTTGTACCAAATTCAATGAAGAGTGATGTTAGTTTATTTATTTCTGTTCTATGACAATCACTTTTTATTTTCCATACAAACATCTTACAATCGAGAGGAAAATACAAAGAAACATTACGTTACATACGTTATATGGCAATGAGGATACAGGGATTATTACAATTTTTTTTTTAAATCATTTTTTCGTTTGTTGATCGACAATATTTTTTCAAGTGCATGCTGTTTGCTCGAATCACTTAAAATTGAAGTTTTTAACTGAAAAAGATGCACAATTATCTTAAAGAATCGATTGAATTTAAACAATCTTTCCATCCATGTATGAGAAAATGGGAATTCAATTCCACTCAAGATGTGTAACAATCATATTTCTCAGAGAACTTAATTAGTCTTTCTCTCATATTAAAAGTATTGATTATGCAAGCATTTTTTTTTAATAAATATTTTTCTTAGGCTCTAAATTATCTACGATTCGAGTCTCTGTTACTATTAATGCTTTATACATTTGGCTCTTGCATATCACGATTAGTTATATTTTAATAAATAAATTAAATTATTATTCACGAATGAATATCACAAATTGGAGTTTCCAATTAATTTACGTCTCTAGTTTTCCCTAGTCAAGTTTAGGTTAAGGAAATACTGTTCTAGTCATTTTCTAGTTTTTTAGTCTTCAAAAATAAATTATCGATAAATCTAGTCTTTGTCTAGTCATCTTTAAGTTAATGAAATTCTAGTCTCGAATGATTTTTTTAGAAAGTTAACTCTTTCACGTGACGAAATTATTTTTTACATTATGATTGTTCTCTTGAAAGTTTTTTTTCTCAATCTGAATGAAATCACAGGAAATTTAATTTGAGAAAAATCTACGAAAAGATTAGTGATAATAATGATAAATATTGTCTCTCAGTTGAAATAACAGTAATAATACCCCTTTGCACCTAGCGATGGGTGTACGTGTTTTCATTTTTCCATCGAGATGTCTCTCTGAATTTCATTCATCTCAATTGACATCTTTCTCTGAATCTCTTCTGCATCCTGAACGTTCGAGCGACGTTTTGGTTTCGGTAAATCTCCAGTTGAGTAGCGTTTGGAGGTCGCTGAGATGATTGCTTTGGACATTTCTTCCTCCGTAGCCGTTTTTCCCTCGATGACAACGATGTGATTCATGTCTGGGACTTCGAAGTAGTACTCGACATGTGACTTGTTGGTCTTCATGATCCTGGACTTCAGTTTCCCCATGAGCTTGACACACGTTCCAACCTCGATCTCTTTCTTGTCCTTGAAGATGGCAATTTGAACAGCGAGCCTGTGTTTACCATTGACAATGCTGCCTCCACCGTAAGAAGCCGAGAAATGGACAACTTCAACAAATGGACTCTTGATGAACCCAGTGACTGACACTGGAGCGTCTTGGTTACGAAGGAGAGTTTCCATGGCAACTTCCGGGTAATTTTCTGGGACAATAATTCCAGCTCCTTCGAGAATTCCCAGATATTTGATGGTACTCGCTGCCTGAGCATTGAACTCCACATCAACAACGTCTTCGTTCCCATGATAAGAAGCATTTGTAGGAGTAATGCAACCCATAGTGATATACATTTTCTGAAGAGGAAATTTTTTTTTGTAAAGAAATGTTTTACCCACAGTTCAAGGTTTTCGATTAATAATTATTGATGATGAAAATTCTGTTGGGACAACTAATTATTATTAACATGAAGAAATACCTGGTGATGGGAAATCTTCGGTGAGTTGACCTTGGCGACATTGTCCCACATCAGTACACGAATCCTCGTTCCGTCCCCATTGTTTATGACAAACTTCAGCAATGTTTTTTTTCCATTGCTGACAGTTTTCACCCCATCAATCTTATCGACGTAACCCGAGAGTATCCTGTGAGATGAAAAAAAAATGAATTCCTCGATATCCCACACTTTCTATGTCAATTTTTTTTTAGTTTTCAATTTTTGATAATTCAATTAAATGAATCAAACAAAAACCGGATTTCCAGTTGTTCTATCATGATTTACTGGGGTCGTTGATATTAATTCTTGAGTGCAGATGAAAAGAATTTGTCCATGCCATGTGACTTGAGAGGTTATGGTGTGTACTTTTCTATGTTATTTTGCAGACAAAATAACAATTAGAATAAAGAAATACTTACACAGCTGTGTCTCCCGCCTCAAAATTGAGAATTTCCTCAGTAGAGGTAAATGGATGGCTTTGCACTGGCATTTTTAACGCGGATTTCGCTTTGGAAAATTTCACATAATTTGGGGGAACGGCTGCCTGGTGTGATTACCGAATGGTGAGAAGGAATATGCTGGAGAGCGGCGTGGGCACGTGAATGTTCGTTGGCAGCTGACACACCAGGTGGCGTGAACGTCTAACAATGATATGAGAATATTTCAAATGAAAATCTCGCGGCACTGTCAATTTTTAACGCGGATTTCGTTTCGGAACATTTCACGTAATTTGGCGGAACGGCTGCCTGGTGTAATTACCGAATGGTGAAAAGGAATATGCTGGGGATCGGCGTGGGCACGTGAACGTTCGTTGGCAGCTGACACACCAGGTGGCGTGAACGTCTAATGGTGAAAAGGAATATGCTGGGGATCGGCGTGGGCACGTGAACGTTCGTTGGCAGCTGACACAGCAGGTGGCGTGAACGTCTAATCAATGATATGAGATTATTTCAAATGAAAATTTCGCGGCACTGTCAATGAACCAATAAAGAATCGTGCCTTCACTTTTGCGAGATTTTCGATACAATCGATTGTGACATGCGTGTTCCTTTTAGAATAGGATCAACCCTCTGAAGAGGAAGTCCTACCAATCCCTGGTATGAGCGGGAGTGGGGGTATCACTTACCGTGCTTTAGCTTTGTGTGCGATAGTGAACCTTTCTCGTCAGAGCGTTGAATTATGTTACACTGAAGAAGTTGATCTGAAATGTTCTTTATGAAAGTCATTACCAATTCTTACTTCTTTCATTACAATCATTTTAAACCTTTTAGGATTGAAGATTAAATATTAATTTCTTCAAGGGATACTTTTTTGTTCTTCCAAATAGACATGGTATTCCAATTCAGTCAGTTCGTTGTCATAGAACCCAACATCTATATATCTCATTATGCATTTCTTCAGAAGTATTACCTCTATTATGTATATAAGCTGTACAAAAATTCGGCTATGTCGTGACTCTTCATTTTACGTATATGCATAAATGAGGATTTATTTGATGGGATGACGATACTTCAACAATTCTCTGAGGAGATAAATCATCTGCAATGATTCATTTCTCTCCTTTTACAATGCCTGCTGTATAATGTCCTAAGCTATTTTCGTTAATAATTTCTGGGTCATGAAAATTTACAATTCCGGCTAGAATATATAGACCATTGTTCACGTTCAATGTTTTCGTGAAGTCGCGTATTGGAACTCGAAACTTATGATCCGATGGACAATTGATAAAAAGATGGTTATGAAAGTGTACACTTTTCGTGATACATTGTGTACATCCAATATTAACTCTATTGAAAATTTCATGTATGGTCGTGTTTAATATTTCTTGAAAATGTTGACAATAAAGATGACCATAATGACATATTTTTTCGAAACTGGGTTCTATTATAATCTCATCAATTCCTCTATCACCAAAAAATGAACACTCCACTGTCATTGAATAACTTGGATTTTGATTAAAAATTATGGGACATAATTCTGCTACTGTCATTAATGCATTCAAAATTACCAGATCAGACCAGAATCTCAATTCTTTTTGGAAAAATTGCTTAGTTCGAAAAATATTCAATCTCAACTGCTGAACGTATTGTTCATCAACTCATCATTTACGACAATGTATTTAATCAAATTAAATTCCTGGGTATTTGAACGAAGGATATCATTGGAGGAACCTTCTGTACTGCACGCTGTAATTAATATTTGAATGATACTGTCAAATGCACATGTGTTCCGCAAACAAAATAATTGAAAATCGGACACAATTAGTCAAAAAGGAACTCATTCAATTTGAGAAAGTAAAATAAGCCATTAATTATATATAATAGAGGAGGACGCTAGGAGGCGCTGCTGAGGAGTAGACGCGTGTAAGGTATGATACAGGGAGGTATGCTGAAGCTTTGATGTCGCCGACACCGAAACAGGGGACAAGTTCCAATGGAAGCCACGCGCGGCGCTGTTGCGTCGCTTCCCCTCACGCGGATTAGATCTCCCACCACACACCGATTTTACTTGCGTCGCGAGTTCAAATTTCCGTCAAATCAATTTTTTTTTTCATGAGAAAGAAATAGTATATTTCGTAACGAGTGCAAAAAAGTGGTTTTTGGCGAGTGGGAGGTTTCGCCTTCGGCTCGTGATATAATTCCACGAGCCAAAAGCCACTTTTTTCACGAGTTACGAACAAAATTTTTCATTACAATGTGTCGGAAAGGTGCTTTCCAGGCACGCGAAGCGAAGCGGAGCATGACTGGAAAGTTACTTCTCCGATACAGCGTGATGAAAATAAAATTTTGTGTTCAATCGAGAGGAACAGGATTAAAAAATGTTGAGATGAAAACAGTATATGATTCTCAGCAAATAGTTCCATGGGTCGAGCAATAAAGATTGACTGAGAGTCATGTCGACTAGATGATTGAAATACTAATTAGAAGGAAGAATAATTAACATCAGAAGTCCATTCAATTAATTATTCCTCTTCTCTTCAGTGAAGCTTGATAGGGAAGAATTTGGAGGGATGGGATTACGATAACGAGGATCCCAGTTTGAACTATGTTTTTTAGTATTTTCTTCTATGAACAAGTTTTGAAAAAGATACGAGGGTCATAATGGTCACAAGGGGTGAAATAAATGAGGTACAAGGGGTTTCAAGAGCCACAAAAGAAAAAAAAAGTCCCAACGGATAAAGAACAGTAACAAGTAATCCAAATGGTCATGAAAGTCGACCAAAATCGCGAGGGTCACGAGGGGAAAAAAGTCGCTATAGTCTTAAGAATAAAAACAAAAAAGAGTCACAAGGAGCCACAAGGGATTGCGAGGATCAGTTTCAAATGCAACGAAAGTATGAAAATTTCAATTTCTGCTATCATTGTTATTATTATGCGTTATACATAATCTATCGATTTAATAGGAATGTGAATGCTGAAGAGAGTCTTTTTTGAAGTAGAGAACATGCTAGGTTTCGCCTGGATAATAAAAAAATGATAAAATCTCTAGTCACACGAAGTTCTTTTCATGTCACCTGAGAGGTAGAGCTCTTGACGCATTTTATTTTAATGTGGTATCCCCTGTAGACCTAATCCACAAAGATAATGGTTGGAAAATTGCGGAGATCTAGAAACCTGGAAGGACAAATAGAAAGTATATCAGTCAAGGAAATATTACTCACTTGCAAATTCTTAATCAATTTTCTTACGGTGATTAATGTGTTATACGGAAAATGGAAGCGGAAATCCTGAAGACGTTGATTAGACTCGTACGGTGCAGCTAGTTGACTAGAAGAAAATCCTCCATGACTCCTACAGTGTCTCTGCTGAACTGAAACAGATGATTTTATGTGAGATTTTGTGAAGGAAGACTTTACAAAATCTTGAAAACTAATGAGCGAATTAGGATCCTTTTTCACAGAAAGGTCAATTAAAGTTTATTTCAAGATTATGTAAAGTCTCTCCAGTTGACGATAATTTTGTACTTCCCAGATATATAATGATGAACACATCCCCATGGTCCACTCCTTCGTTGCCACGCTTCACCCTCTGTCGGGGGTATTGCGTTTCCCAGCAATCTGAGCTGAAGTCCTCATAAAACCCCTCTTGGAAGCGTATTCGATTCTGACTTCGAGTTGAGATGCGTTCAAAGCTGATACGTGCACACGCAGAGCGAGGAATTCATCAATAGCCTTGCTGATGATGTTATGTTTTGTGCAGGCAATCACGTACAGCTCTGGTGCAATTTTCTCAGAGATGGTTGCAGTGAGAACGTCACAAACGTTGTTTAATCGCAGGATTCGAGTTCCCGCGCTAAGCATCAAACGTTCAGCTATGGAGATGATTTCATACAACAGTCCTATGGGGTGAACCAGGCCCCCCTCATCAATAGCTGCTGTCCACTGGTACGGAAGGGATTCATCAATCCCCGTGGCGATGATTGCACGATTACAATCCTCACAAGATCCACGAGTGTACCTAGCCACCCACCCTGCCAAGTAATATACACATTCTTGCATTCGAGTCAGGTGGTAATTATCCACTTCCAATCCTTCGATTTGGTCAATCCTTTCAGCCACTTGTTTGCTTTCTTTGGTGCGTCCTCTCAAAACGTCAACGTAGTAAGCTTCTTCATCATCGGCGTACGAAGAATTTTTACTGACTTTCAAAAACATCGCCACGGCAAGAAGGCGAAATTTGTGACGTAGGCAAACCGGACGAGGATACATGTCACCTGATCTAGCTTGAGAGAACAGATTCTCACAAGGGCTGGACCCAAAGCGACTAGGCAGAAAGTATTCCATTTCCCCAGAAAGGACGTATGGAAATTCAAAGTGGTCAATGTGGCCAGTTCAATTCCACGTTGTATGGGTTTTCGATACGGAATACGATGAAACATGAAATTATTATTCACTTACGCACCTCACACAAATAACGATCGTTCTATGACACTTGATCACTCGGTAGTAAATCACCGCTTTTTTCCAGCCATTGTCGTCGCTTCTCAATTTTTTTCAAACTGCGAAAGGAGAAAAAACGATAATTATCCCTAGAAGATGCTTTGCAATTTATAATTGCACACGATTTAACCATTTTGCATGAATCAACTCGCACAGATTGTTCAGATCTATTGGAGTACGTTTTGGAGCGGATATAAACAAACAACATTCGCGAGATATTTTCGCGCGAAAAATAAATATTGTTCAACATTGGACAAAAATGCATTTTCATTTTATTTTTAATCCTATTACATTGAGCAGTGATTTCACTCTCAATCTTGGTGAAGATCAGAGTGAAAATGCAGGTGAGAAGGTAGGTAAAGTGGATAAAGTGTAGTGGCGATTTGGCGGTTAGGAAAAATGGGTGATGAAGGAGGGCAAGAGGGGGACGGGACGGTGTTTATCCCAAATTTGCTTAAACCGAAGATGAGTCTGATATCAAGGGGAATTTCAATTTAAAAAAACTTGAGACACTGATTTCAATTCACTCAAATAATGTTTTTATTTTTAGATTAAATGCAAAAATTTTTCACTTAGTGTCACATGGTCAACGAATAAAATCTTCATT